CTAAACTGGCGGTGAAGGGATGTACACAGTGCCCTGGCCAATTACATAGTGGTTTTTAGTGGAGAGGGATTGGTTTAAAGGGGTATCGTACCTATGTTGATAGGTTTAAAGGGGTTTCGTACCTATTTTGATCCTATTTCTGTCTATTTGTTTATTTGTTCAATCATAACTCATGAAACCTGGACCGATTTGCCTCAAATTTAGATTGGGCAACTTGGAAGAGCCACGGGAATGTTTTTAGTTTGGTTTTGAGATTCTTAGTTAAATTGGTCGACTTTTATTGGGAAAAATAGCTAAAATCGTATAATCAAATGCGGGTAAACGTGGTGAGAAACTTAGAGTAATCTGGGGAACGCTGGGTTCCCAAACCAGTATGCTTATATAGTTGTGATTCTAAATTTAAACTTGACTATTATAGAATATTTAGAAAATAAGAACAATGCAATTTGGCTTTTTTGGTGTTCCGCCAAATTTCTTTAAGAGAGCGACCGGCAATGTAAGGTAGTTTAACTGAGTATGCATGGTGTTGTGGAAAACTTCTTTCGGATTCATTTGCGACAAATTAAATTTGTAAATCTTGAGTTTGAGCGCAAATTCGACGTTCAAAACTCCTACTTTGGGGTGGATACGTTTTCAGAATTATTTTTTTTAAATTATTAAATAACGACAACGAAAAATAAAGTAAAAATTATACAGGAATCTAATTCAATGCTTCAATTGATTATTTCGTTTTCATTATTATATTGAATCTCTTATCTTCTTTGAATTTATTCGCAGATTTCTTCAAATTCTTCAAATGTCGTCTTTTTAATAATAATTCTAGAAAATCTGCGAACATCTTTGTGAATAATGAGGGGCCAGAATAATGAGAAAATATGGACTAATAATTGAACAAGATTACCTATTTTTGATGATAAGATTAATTTTTATTTTCTCAACATGTGCCTATGCCTACACATGACGTCTGTAGTTTATTGCAGAACTTTTTTTACATTTTATTTCGTCGTTATTTAATAATTTATTAAAAAACTAATTCTGAAAACGTATCCACCCCAAAGTAGGAGTTTTGAGTGTCGAATTTGCGCTTAAACTCAGGATTTACAGATCTCTAAAAAGTTTAATATGTCTCAAATGAATCCGAAAGAAGTTTTCCACAACACCGCATACTCAGTTCAACTACCTTACATAGCCGGTCACTCCCTTTAAAACTGTTTTGATTACTAGTAATAAAAATTATCCTTTTGTCCATGCTATTGTAAAATCTTCCATCCATGTCTCTTTAATTTACATTTTTAGTATTTTTGTTTTATTTGTAAAAAGCGTTTAATAATATCCGAGTTCAACCCTTGAATTCCTGTTCAGTGAGCTATTATTTTCCGACGTTTTTTTACTTTGAAATCAGTTTTTTGAAAATTCTATTTGACATATTTTGGTTGGGTATTTATTATATACTTTGTTAAAAAGTGAGAATTAAAAACGCTTTGAAGATCTTTAAATACAGATATCAACTTACAATAGAAATTTGTGTCAGTATTATTCATAATTTTACCACATCAATTAACAATTCAAATTATATTTTTTAAACTTTTACTAAGTAACATTTTTGATAGCTAAAAAAATATCTGAATAGTAGAAATAGAAATATGAATTATTTCTTTGAAAGTCACAGTTTGATGGGATAAGGACCGAACTGTTAAATCTTCTCGGTGTACCTTAAACAAAATAATTTTTTTCTTTTAATTTGCTAAAATTCCTCCAATCTCGACTTTGGTTTCCGATTCATCTTTTTATGAATTTAAACTTGCAATGCATTTCCATTTTTTTCATTTTACTAATTTTCAAAACTTGGTCGAACACTGTTGTATGCCGGTCCATTAGCACCTGATCCAATTTATTCTATTCTGAACCAAAAAGAAATAGTATGGCGGTAACATCTATCTTTCTATCTATCTCATTATCCAATTAGATATATAAATACTTTAATTGGCGCTATCAATAAATGGAAATATATACTTATATTGCAACTACAGTGCATCATTGTTACCCTTATTAACTCAATTAAAATAATTTGTTGTAGGTATAGACATGTACATTTTAGATCTCTAAACCACATCGGCAGTAATTTTAGCAAAAGTTGAATAACGGTTAAAATTATTATCGATTTTGAGTACGTACGTGAGAGCTTGCAATGTACGTTTGGATCACTGTGAACTCTCTTCGTACATATATATATATATTTGTTTATATATATATGTGTATATATATATTTGCAAAAATAATATATGATAAAATATCTGTGTAGATATTTGTAGTTTCTGTCATAAGGGGATGTAAGATTTATCTTACTTTGCCGCTAAAGATTCTGGCTGGCGGCAAATTAGCCGCCATATGCATCGATCAGGAGTACTTGTTTTCCAGATTATGGGCGTGTGGGCTAACTTTACATGCAGATGAAGGGAGCAGACAGAAAATTGTTTATAAATACATTTTAAAAACATATTTCCTTTTTAAATGTTGTATCTCAAATCGCAATTTTTCAATCAAACATTTTTTTAGATTTGAATGTACGTCCAGAACACCATAGTTTCAGTAGAAGTAAATATATCCATTTACTGATAGCGCCGATTGAAGGATTCATAACTCTAATTGGATAATGAGTTAGATAGAAAGATAGATGTTATGTTACCGCCATACTATTTCTGTTGGTTCAGAATAGACAACAAACACATAACTGAACCCTGATTGGATCAGGCGCTAATGGACTCGACATACACGAGTGAGAAGCTATAAAGGTGTTCCTCAGAGTAATGCGTGTTGCCAAAAAATTGTTAGGTCTAATTGGTTCAGCCGTTTTAAAGTTTAATAGATACAAGCCCGCAGACAAGCAAACAATATACATATGACAAAAAAGAGAGAATACACATAATGTAACCTAGAATCAAATGTTTTATTACACATAGTTGATTTATTTATCGCTCTACATATTTTTAATATAAAAAAATGAAATTTCAAATATAAATTGTTGTGAAGGAATAATTTTTATCCGTAAAAATTAGGACGATCTCTGCCACCTCCAAATCCTAAACAACTTGAATAAAATGGCTATTAATATATTACATTAATAGAAAAATTTTAAATCGTAAAAAACTTCTAAAAATATCTAATTTTCTAATCCTGAACTATTTACAACCTGAGAAAGCTTTGATATATATATTTAAGTTCTCCTAGAACAAAAGGTTTACAAGCTACAGCATTGGTTGCATAGAAAAAATAGGAAATTGAAAATCAGAGTTTGAGGCAAGTAAATCGATCAGTTTCTTTGAGTACTAAACTCGAGAAAAACTAAAAACAGATTTTCTTTTTTTCTCATAAATGAACCTTTTTTTGGAAACATTAAGCATCAGGTTGCATAGAAAATTAGGAATTGGAAATTAAGAGTTTGAGGAAATGATCATTTTCTTTAAATTGTAAAGTCTGTCACATATGTAAGATTGAACTCGAAAAGCAAGAAATCTGTTTGTCAGTTTTTAAAAGAACCTATTTTTGAAAACATGAAACTATCTGCAGATTGATTAATTCTTCTCTGAAAAAATTGAAATATTCTGAATATTGAAAAAAATTATTTTGAATAAAATAAGTTTTGAATTACCTGGTCTGTTATATCCGCTGCCAAAACCTTAAAAAAGGAATTATTAAACAAATTTTTAAAATACAAACAATACACTATTTCTGATGATGAGGAACAAAACGGGTTCATTTATAATAACTTAAGATATATAATTCGGGAAATCGATAATCTCAAATTATAAACCATGTCAAGTGTTTGTCAAGCTAACGATGTATTTTATTGGCAATGACGACAACAAATAAATTAAAATATATAATTTTCTTTGCTCAATCATAAGAAGATTTTATCCAGATATTGGGCGCATATGTCGTCGTTGGTCGTTTTGTATTTATCAGGCAAAAACTTAAAAAACTAGCTCTGAAGAACATGGTTGAGTGCATGGTACAATTGTCATGGTTTTTTAAGATAAAAGCATTAAATGTCCATTTAAAATGGCGACCATTCCCTATAGCACATTTTCATAACATTTTTGATGTTTTTAACCTGGTTGGTTTCCCCCACCATATCCTCCACCATACCCTGAAAATTAGACTATGAACGGATTGGTCTTTTTCGTTGGAGATCCCAAGGTTTTCATTGGGGACCCCAGATTCTCATAGGACCCCAGATTCTCATAGGACCCCAGATTCTCATTGGACCCCAGATTCTCATTGGACCCCAGATTCTCATTAGATCCAAGATTTTTGTTGGAAACCCAAGATTTTCATTGGAGACTCCCAAATTTTCAATGGAGACCCCCAAGATTTTCATCGGAGATCATGAAAATCTTAAGGTCTCCAATGAGAACGGGTCAATAGTATATACTCTAATGATAACGATTTCTTCCCAGTTTTGTATTTTTCTATTTCTCCTCTCTGCATGATGTTTTGAACTTAATTCAACAAAATGTTTGCTTAAAGGGACTGTAAGCGTAATTTCAAGAGACCTTTCATTTACAGTGACCTTTAACTTTTTTTGGGCGATTTCAGGGTAGCCTCTTAGCCTAAGCCTCTTAGCTATTCGTTGGTATTAGTCCAACTTTTCAACGATAACTGTATCCGGCCGGAGAAAAAGCCATGTTGTTGATAAGAATTCAGACACAAAGGTATGACACCTTTGTACGCACTTAAGTATAAAGATAAAGAATTTAACGAATCAAGTGCGTGCAAAGGTATGACACCTTTGTACGCACTAAGCATAAGGATAAAGAATTAAACGAATCAAGTGCGTGCAAACGTATGACACCTTTGTACGCACTAAGTATAAGGATAAAGAATTAAACGAATCAAGTGCGTGCAAAGGTATGACACCTTTGTACGCACTAAGCATAAAGATAAAGAAACAAACGAATCAAGTGGCTCAATTGATGCGTAATACTACCGTATTACGCTACATTCTAAAAACAAAACCAAAAAAAGCTTTCAAATCATGCCATCGATCGATTTCAGTGATTGTGACTTTTTTAGGGGAAATGACCAAAACAATTAAAAATAAACCAAAACAATGATTTATATAAATATATTCGTTACCTGGATTAAAAAAACTGCCGCCTCCACCCCCTTAAAAAAATGTATTTAACAAATAACAATTAGTTTGATCTTGTTTCATTGAGAATTACATTTTATTTTTTTTTTAATCGAAAGTATTTTACCGCTGGTTTTGAATAATTACTAGTTGTTACAAAAGTCAAAAAGATAAAATGAAAGCTTTATTTGTTTTCATATTAAAACTGCACCAACATTTTCCAGTGATAAAAAGACAGATGAGCATTAATCAAAACTGCTTTGACAATTTATTAAAAAGAAAATCAGATTCATAAACATAACGTTTTTTTGGACATACATAGAAGAGAATGGTCTTCTCCGTTTTTGTTACTTTTCTGGTAAACATATACCCTTGTCTTTGTAATAATATATAATTTTTCATGTTTCGAGCAATTTTAGGTTTTGCTAAATAAATGGATTTCGCAATAGATTTTTGGATTTTTAAAGAGATTTTTTAAGTAGTCCTCAATGGCTTTCCAAAATCAATTAAACGTATTTTTATGTTACATTAATAAAATGTTTTGTCAATTCTAAATTTTAAGTGTTTACCTGGTCTATAACCTCCATTACCAAAACCTCCGTTACCATAGCCTCCGTTACCATAGCCTCCATTACCATAGCCTCCATTACCATAGCCTCCATTACCATAACGTCCTCCTCCAAATCCTCCGAAGGTGAGGAAAGGGCTAGTGAGGGTTGTGGAGAAGAACGAGAGGAAGCAGAAGAGGAACAAGATTGAAATCTTCATGCTTAAAAACAACATTTTGAGCTTTTAAATACTCAGAGAGGTTTTGCCCCCCCCCCCCCTTATATTGTAATAAAACAGGATAGGGTTAATACAAATATAAGAGGCTTTTTTCGTTTTTTATTCCCTTTTCACTATTGGTTGATGTTGATCGTATGAGCTTGTCAGTTTTGAAACATTTAGGGGGTTTGACCAGTTGCACTGCTTTGCAGACGATTTCGGTATTCCTTACACACACTCTTTTGGTATAGACACACAACATGATTACAGTCAAGGAAATTGCTGAACAATGTTGTCAATTATAATTAGGCTTGAATAACGAGTAGTTTATTGTAAACTTTAATTAAATTATATTCTTTGCATGGAAATTTGGCATATAGTGTTGACTTAAATATATAAATAATATATTACATGTATTTTAAACTTATTTTTAAGTAAACAATAAACAATAAACAAATGTAATCCCATAGACTGTACAAATACCGAGATTCTTAAATATTGTATATACCTACAGTACACACCTTCGGTTCGGTATTTCTTACACACACTCTTTTGGTACAGACACACCCCCATGACGTTTCCGCCCCCTGGGTTTGACGAGTTTGAGGTTGAAAGTGTTTCACAAAAATGTGAGTTTTAAATAAACTATATTGCAAAATTCTCGATAAGTTTTCTTATATTACATTATGCGAATTATTTTCTAGAAATATTAACCAAAATGAGTTTTCAAAACGAAAAACGATTTTACTAATTGTTTTGAAGATTCATTTTGGTTCATATCTTTGCATAATATAATAAAAGCAAACCTTTCTAGTATGCAATTTTGAAATATATGTTTCTTGTGGAGTCTAACTTAAAAGTCTAAAAACGTTGAATATTTATAAACGGACCTCACACGGGCAGCCGTAGTACATTTGAATTTCCAAGCCTGGTCAACCTTTCCGGACCCAATTTGTACTGTTCCTAGCTCTATGGACAGGACTAGCCGGTGCAACAAGGTTGACGAGGTCAAACTTTATAGTTCATATAGGTTGAATTTACTTTTACTAAAGGGGCAGAGGTGCGTGCTTAAAATGAGGCCCACTAGTGTCAGTTAATCGGAAGTCGGAAATCTATCAAATCATGAGACCTATAAACATACTGTCAACGTAATATAACTGAGCCTTAGTTTACAATGTTATGAATGCTCAAATCCGAATGGCGCCCATTCATAGACATGGGTGTGTTCTGCTTTTTTATTTCGTTCGTTCATCGTTCGAACGATCCATTTCCTTCGTTTTTTTCAATCGTTAAAAAAAATTGATTTAATGTGTTCTCAAAATATCGTTTACCATCCATCTATTTTAATCGCTTTCTTACTAAAAGATCGTTTAGTAAAATCGCTGATTCATAAGAATTTTTCTTTCAGTTAAGATAAGAAAGTTATTTCAAAATTTGTTTGGTAAAAAATACTATCGTTTTTAAATATTACAAAAAATCAGTTCGTTCATTATAAAAACTGTATATGGTTTTTTTCAAGTTTGTTTTTGTTTTTTATAATACTAATTTTGTCATTTCTCTGAACGATCAATTTCGTTCCTCTAACGTTAGTTTTTTTTACTAAACGACAGATTAAATTCATTAAAAATTTTGTTAGATCAAAAATACTATGCCCATCTCAACCCATTAGTACTTTAAACGAAATAAAGAAAGTCTTGTGTTAAAATGTATAGGCAAGAATTTTATTCAATGATAACTAAAAATTCCTTTTTGGTAAATACCTTGTCTTGTCTTAGTGCTGGGTTTCACTGTTAAACTAACTAGATTATTTGCATGTAATGTATTTATATAAATTGTTTAGACCATGCATGGTTTTTACTTAAAGAGACAAATAAATTTCAGACATATCTAAATAATTGTACATTTAATTCTTAATGATATCTATATGTTTCGAACGCTATGATCCCTTATTTAGAAAATAATCTAAAAATCTTTAAATTTTATAGAAATGACTGGCTGTGCATATTTGGTTACTGACTTAATGCAAACACTGGAAATCCAAATAAATCTACAAATTTCAAATCACTACGTAAATTACAATGGGTACATTTCGTTTTTAAACTATACAAAATATCGACGTAAGTAAATTAGTATTTTTCTATTTTTCAAAATTGTCGTAAAAGTGTTGTAAAGTGTTGTAATTTGTAATTTTTGTTTTTAAAAATGTGCCCAAATTTTTTTAGGAAAAGACCATTAATTTAGTAAAATATTCTTATTTCACTTCTTATTTAGAGAATGGAAAAAGACGACAGTCAGCTTTAATGTTATCATATGTTGGGTACTTTGGACCAAAATTAAATTACCAAATCTTCTTAATTTTTTAGACGTGCATTGAAAACAAAATAACATGTTTTGAAATTTTAAAATTGGCTTGACAAACTATAACCAAAAACTTACTTTAAAGAAAGTTTTTGCAAAAAATAAAAGGGAGCCAGGCTACTAATTTTCCTGTGACGTCTTTCATTTTTTACAACAGTCCTTTTAAACTAATGTATTCCAACAAAAGTACATTATTTGTGGTGTTCGATTATATTCTGGGAATCTGTTTGTCTTTTTAAAAAATAAGGTGACTCAGCAAGTTTAATTGAATTCAAGTAAAGGGAATGTAAGCGTAATTTTAAGTGGCCCTCCATGCAAAGATGGCAATATAATGTTTATCTCTCAAATATTGCTCGGATTCCTGTAAATCTGGGATTGTATACAAATTGTGCACTCGCGTACGTCGTGAACTCAACTCAGCTGACGTTACTTTTAAAATTAGAAAGTATGAATTCATTTTCTGATTTTCTTGTATTTTCTAGTATTTTCTGGTATTTTCTGGTATTTTCTTGTATTTTCTGGTATTTTTATTATATTTTCTTGTATTTTCTTGTATTTTCTTGTATTTTCTGGTATTTTTATTATATTTTCTTGTATTTTCTTGTATTTTCTGGTATTTTCTTGTATTTTCTGGTATTTTCTGGTATTTTTATTATATTTTCTTGTATTTTCTTGTATTTTCTTGTATTTTCTGGTATTTTCTTGTATTTTCTGGTATTTTTATTATATTTTCTGGTATTTTCTGGTATTTTCATTATATTTTCTTGTATTTTCTGGTATTTTCTTGTATTTTATTAAATTTTCTTGTATTTTCTTGTATTTTCTGGTATTTTCTGATATTTTCTGGTGTACAAAGTTACAAAGTTACAATTTTATATTTCACTTTTCCATATTTAAATGTAATACCATGCTTGTTTGTCTGTTTGTCCGATCGGGCCCAAATTTTGTGTGGGACCTCACAAGACTCCTGCAGGGAAAGTTGATGAATGCTCAAAATTACAAAAAATGAAAATTTGAAAATGCGGAAAAAATATTATGAAATCCGCGAACTTTTTTTTGGCTTTTGTTTCATATTGTACAAAGAGAAGATGCTCACAGATAGAGCCACAATGAACGAAACTCCTAACTTTCCTTTGCAATCCAATGTCGTGAACCATTGATATTTCAAACTATGGATGGAATCTCTTAGATCAATACAAGGACAGTTATTTCAGAAGTGTACGCATCTTTTGTACTGCAGTGTACTGTCTCTGGGCAGTAATGTAAACACAAGACGGATGTCAAAGCCTGACATGAGATTCATCTTTCACATAAAAAAATCAATGAAATATTCTGGTCATAGGAAACTATTATGTGAATTATCAAAATTATCAAATTTAATGCTTTTAACCTCCTCGGATACTAAACGAACACTGATGAATTCCGCCCAAAGAGAACTGATTTCAATATGTACGCAGAGTATACACGACCGCAATTAACTTTCCTTGCATTACACCCTGGCCTTGGATCAAATAATCTAAGTCTGAAATATCAAAGGTTCACAACATAAGGTTGTGAAAATATAAGGATTAGAAAATTTTAGTTTCTGACAAATACTCAATTCCTTTGCATTGCTCATACTTGGGGTAAATATAAAACTAGAGCAGCTACGAGATTACAATGTCCTTTCAGTATTTTCTCATAAATTTCTGTGTAGTTAAGTGTGGTAACCTAATACGCTAACATAACTTACAAGTATTTTCTCTT